ACAGTCGACTTTTTATTAAAATCAGTTAAAATGAGACTGATTCTAAAATATTTATTAATATATGATTAAGGAAAGCTAAAAGAATGCAATAGGAAATAAAACAAAATATATAAATTTAAAGAATAATTCAAATATTTAAAATGTATTATTTATGCGTAATTTAACACCCTTCGCATGTTTAGTTGCATTTGTTTGATTTGCTGCGATATTGGACGAAAGATTATGACGCCTTTTAAATATTTTTTAGAAGGTTCATCTTGAGGTGGACTTCCAAATGGTAATCTTCCTTTAGTAACTGCCAACTTTCTTCGGCTGATTCAAGTAGGTTTCACTCTTATATTGGCCTTGTGTTTAAATCGCCTTGCCGAGGAACTTCCTGCCGTGTTTAAAAAACTTTCCCGAGCCGTTTTTGTTTTAATATGGAATAATATTTCGTGCAGTAATTTTAAAGTTGATGAATTAGTTCCAAATGTAACATTTTCATCTTGTAGCGTATTAATAAAATCTGTAAACGAAAATTGAACTTTTTCGACAAAAGCTAATTTAGCTACGTCGTGTCGATCTTCAGGAGTAGTAGCTGGAACGTGGCAAAAAGATATATTAAAAAAGTGTGAAATCGCAGCTTAATGCTTGCAAAAAGCACCCAATCTTCCAATTTCGCAACTGGCAAATCCTGTTGCTATATCGACTTCGTAAAGCACACTATTATTTTGCTCACTAGGAACTTTATATAAATTTTTAGATAATTTACTTATATATATTTTTGTTATAAATATTGACTTTTTTCTAATTGCCTTTTAAAGAGTAATCTTGGAGCTGCATCTCTACTAGTTACAAAATTTCAAAGCCGTCTTCTATAATATCCTTCTAAGGCAGTACAGCTAAAGTCCATTAAAGCTATAACATTATAAGCTTTGTTTCTATGTAGAACCATGACTTTAAAAAGCCTTAACTGTTATTTCACTCAAATTGTTGGTTGCGTCCTATATATGGTGTTGATGCGTCCCTATAAGCTAGGCACCAAGATTCTTTTCCTTTCCAGTAGTCAGTAATATATTTCTTTCACTGCAGAAATCGTTGGTTTTTAAGAATAATCTTAAATGACTCTGTGGCTTGAAATGTTTCGAATAAAAGTGATCGCTCGTCTTGGTTCATTCCATTTATTTTTTTACACAACCAGCGCCAAATTGATTGGTTTATGAAAACGGCATAAAAGTGTTTGTGATGCTGGCCAAGCACGTTTTAAGGCTTTTCTTTTTGCGTCACTATCATCTATAATAAATATTTTAGGATAACCCACTCCACTGAAGACATTTGGTATTGACCCTTGGTATGAGTTGGTATACTGCACCATAATCTTCAGTTGTCTGACCTTTGGTAATAATTGCCAAAGGCATTGCTCCTATTCCACAAGGGATTAACATAAAGGAAACTAAATGGTTTAATTCACCGCAAGAAGCTAGTGGTATCTGTAAAAACAACATCTTTTGCAAATGAGAGATTGTGTGCTCGTTGCATAATAGTTATTACAACAATGACGGCAAACGGGTTTTCATTATATTTTACTAAAATTCCTTCTACCTCATGAACCTTGTTTCATTTTCTAAAAAAACCGAAAAGGTCAGTAATTTAAGAGGCTTTTACCGAGACTCTCTTTACCTCCAAAACTCCAGTTCCATCGCGAGGTCCCAAATTTTCAATTCTCCATATATTATACTTATATACTTATAATACCTGGCAAACCGTCCTAAAAAACGTGTTTAAAGGGATTCTTTGATAGCGTGAGTGATTAGAAACGGTCTAGGAACTAGAGAGGCACTATTCTGTATGCGCGTTCTATTACAAAAAAGTTGTGAATTCCGAAAGAATGTTTATGTTTGTTTCATTGACTTCGAGAAGGCGTTTGACAGAGTCCAACACAATACACTTTTCGACTGCCTACGGGCAGCAGGACTTGACCACTATGATATAAGACTGCTGAAATACTTATATTACAATCAAGTAGCCTCTATCCAAATTGGAGACAGTCCCACTGAAAAAATACCCATCAAACGTGGAGTACGGCAGGGTTGTGTTTTGTCACCCACTCTTTTTAATCTGTACTCTGAAGAAATCTTTAGGGAGGCTTTGGATGACAGACAAGAGGGAGTAAGACTAGGTGGAGAAGTAATCAACAATATTAGATACGCTGACAATACAGCCATTCTTGCAGAAAGTTTACAAGATCTCCAAACATTACTAACTCTAGTCAGTGAAGCAAGTTATCGGAGAGGCCTAAAAATCAACATTTCAAAGACAAAGTGGATGGCAGTTGGAAAGATCCATATAGATCAAGGTCTGCTTTCTCTTAATGGAGAAGAGATAGAAAGGGTAAATCATTTCAAATACCTTGGCAGCTGGTTAAATGTAAATTGTGACTCTGATGAAGAGATAATATCCAGGATCGAAATATCACGTAAGGCTTTTATGACCTGGAAACCAGTTTTATGCAACAGAAACCTGTCAATGAACATTCGTAAGAAGGTCCTGAAATGTTATGTGTGGTCGATCCTATTGTATGGTTGTGAGACATGGACGTTAAAAACCACAATGCTAAACAAGTTAGAAGCATTCGAAATGTGGTGCTATAGACGAATCCTAAAGATATCGTGGGTTTCGCACACTTCCAATGAAGATGTTCTTCAAATGATCAACTCAGAACGTCTGCTCATAAACATCATAAAGAGGAGAAAAACAGAATACTTCGGCCATATAATTAGAGGACCCAAATACCATTTACTTCGCCTTATAATACAAGGAAAAGTGGAAGGAAAGAGATGGATCAGCAGCCGACAGAGAAAGGTTTCAGGAAATTGTAAGCATGATGACGGCCAACGTCTGAATACGGACACGGCACCCAAAGAAGAAGAAGATGACAAACAAAAGTTTTACTAAAAAATATAATTTATTAGAGCATGCAATTAAATAAGAGAATATTTTTATTTCATTAAAAAATATTTTATAAGAGCTTCCCTGTATAAATAGTTATATTTTTTTGGTTTTTGCAGCTATCCAGCTTGAAAAATAAATACTTTTATATTCATTTAGCCATTTACATATATATCTTCTTCATTTCTAATGTCTACTCTGAACTTATTTTCCTTAATAACACTGTATTCAAAACTTTTTGGCAAATCCATTATATAAATAAACAAAGATCTAAACAGCACGTGCAGGTCTTTAAAAATGCCGCGAAGGCGAAACATTCATACAAATATACAAAAAGTACTAAAAGTAAGAAAATAATATAATAGAGAGTTTTTAGGCCCTTTATTTTTCGATGGACGTTAAACGTAAAACGTTATACTTGTCATGCGCCTTGAATAATAAATAAGGGATAACGTTTTTACTTAAAATAGTTTTTGAATCCTTTCGGAAATTAAGCTATGACAGATTATCGTTAATTGACATTTGACGAACGTAACCTATAAAACGAAACGGCAGTTATATGTCGATATAAATGGTATAAACAAACATGACAGTCGAAAATACCATTGCTTTTCAAAGTTTAGTTTGGTTTAAGACGAGTTATTTTTATCATTTAAAAAAGGAAATTAGCCTTAATGATATCTTTGTGTATTGTGGTGGTGAAGTAGAGGCCATTGGTTGAAGGGGAAGCAGTTTTCAAGTGATGAATTCTTAAATTTTAACTTCAGTGTTTGGAACTGACTTTTTAATAAATTATACATCTGTTGTTCACTTATTTTAACATTTAATGATCTTTATGTTTTACCTAAATAAAAACGAAGGCATTCACAAGGTAGTTTTTTTATTAATAATAGATTATTGAAACAAAATAAATCTTTTATTTACAAAATATAGTGACCAATACAATCATTCATCAGACAACCAAATGGTTTAATTTCAGATAAATCTGGACAAAAATATATACAAGAATACATTGCTGATGTTCTTGTATGATTTTTACTACAATTTTCCAAAATTTCTCCCTACAACAATGTTAAATACAGTTTAAAATATTGTGAAGTAAATATCTGTATATTTCTTCTTTGGATTCTGTCCATTCCAATTTGTCTCATAACAGGGTTATTGATTTTTGTCATTTAATTTAGTCATGTTGAAATTTACTAAAAAAATTTAATAATTCTATTCAAATCAACAGCTGTCTGGTTTGTTTATACCATTTATAGTAGATTAAATTTATTCCGCCAAGGGTCAGATACTTTGTTTTCAATCGTGAATACTCTATAACCTATTTTATTTGAATAATTTGCTATAATCTAAGAAAATAGATGAGGAAGACACAGAGAAGTAATAGATTACAATTTGATAAGAGGCTTAATTCTTCACAATATTTTTGATCCTGTAATACCTGTTGCACCAAGACTACATTTTGTGTTGGAAACAATTGAAGAGAAAGATGCTGAACTAAATTTTCTATTTTTTTTTATTCTATCATAGTTATCTTTGGTTCTGCTCTTAGACAAGGAAAGAGAGCTGCTCATATGACTCTTTTTTTGTTTTTTATGATTTATATATCTGGCATTTGACAACATTACAAACACGTAATCCCTTAATAACGTTAACCTTATCTTTACCTAAATAAGGGAATACCTTATCCTCTAATAAAGTAATCCGTTATTTTTCTGTTAATGCGCATGAGCAGAATAACGTATAACGTTTAACGTTACTAAAATAAGGGGCTTAAAAACTCTCTAATGTCTCGCTAATGTATACCATTCCGTATATGAATTTCGCACCAGAATAACATTCCATATACGTGTTTGGCACCTCATCGTCTATTGGTTGAAACGTACCCGCGTGCCGCAAAGGACCAATAGAAAAGTGCTGTGCCAAATACATATACTGAATGTTTAGATGCGTCCCGGATTTTTCGGGCTAGTTGGTCACACTATGTATTCCTTAAATACATACATTATAAATAGATAAAAGATAAATAAATAAGATAAATACATTAATTTTATTCTTTTTATTTTTAGGAGATTCTACTTCGTTATCTAAACCCAAGCAACCATATAACATAGGTGTAGAAGAAAATGTACAGCATTCCTACGAAAATAAACAATTAAATACCGGGAAACACCTACTACCCGCCATTATACCTGAACTACGCTCTATAAGACGAAAATCGACGGTGTCTAACAATATTGCAAATGAACAATGTGCTTCGAAACCATCCATTTCTCTTGTTTCCTTGCCATGTATAGATAATCGATCGAATATCATTCATACAGAGCGCCCCTCTTCAAAAGCTTCTCTCAGTCCAGCTTCTAGTGATGAAGAGTCTTTACTAGTTATAGATGATCGACCAAATTCAAGCGGTACAGATGGATTAACGCCGGTTAACACCTCTAGATTACATTCACAATCCCAATTGCACGATTCGACGTCACGAGTTTCGGAATTAGTACATAAAAAAATATCAAAATCTCCAAAGACTTCACCGGTGATAACTAGTACCATTACAGTAGCCAGTACTACTAAGGCCATATCCTCTACTAAGAAGCTATATCCCAGTACTACTAAGGCCATATACCCTGAGAGTTTATCATATACTACCAATAAACCAAGGATAATGAACTCTTTACCACAAGAAAATAGTCCATGTTCCCATGACTATCTTCAAAAACATCAGAAGTACAATGAAGTTCCTTTACCAGAAGGTCCTTTAAATTTAACTTTGGTACAACCAGATTCTAATAGACAGTCGCAACCTTTTACAATGGAACGAGATTTTAAAAAAGTAACGAATACAGTTGTCCCTTCTAATGTCCAATATAAATTGAACCCCGAAATTCCGCAATCAACGATTTCAATGGTGCATAAAATCTTTAATAGTAAATTAAATTTCGAATATTTGGTATATCTAAAGAATACACTTAAATTTTTAAATATTGATCTTAAGGTACCTAATGTCCCACAAGAGCAGATATACAATCGCCAAAAGTTGGCATATACAATTATTTCTTATATATCTCACTTTCTTTTTAATGATTTTCAATCTCCAATTCTTCAAAAGTATGTACAAGACATGTTAGAATGTGACCTTGAGAAATTCAGGCCTTTGGTTGAAACCTTCTTAAAAGCAAAACCTCATAATGAAGCATCGGTAGCTATGTTCTTAGAAGCAATAAAAAACCTTTCGTCTTTCGACAAAAGGCAAGTGAATCAAATATTACCGCAGGATAAACAGCCAGAAAGCAGAACGAAACTTGACAGGCGGAGACTAACCATAGATGGTGTTCCCACAATTGCGAACACAACTGCAGTTAAAAAACCTACTGCTAAAAGAAAGCCGAAGATGATAAGTAAAAGAAGACAAACAATCGATGCACTTAATAACTATGCAGAAACTCAAACAGGAACTATTGTCAATGACGCTGATGTACAGATTGTTGGAATTTGGCAAAATCCACATCAAATTGTTAATCGAAACGATACGAGGATTGGAAATTCAAGTTTGCAACATCAACATAGTAAAGTTGTTACGGCTAATAGCCATAGTCCTGGGGACTTACGTGGAAATAATCAAAATCAAATAATCCCTACAAATAGTGATAATATTAGACAGTTACTTTTGCAAAATCAAAATCGAACTACTCCTGCCAACAGTGAGGATATTACGCTTTTAGATTGGAAAAGTCAAATTAACAATGTTAACAATCCTGGACATATAAGTTGGCAAAGTCCAAATAATATAACTAATACCAATAGTGAGAGTGTCAAACAATTTCATTTGCAAAATCACAATCAAATTACTAATGCGAACAGTATTCAACATTTAGGTTGGCAAAATCGAAATTGTATTAATAACGACAGTAGGATGGAACATGTACGTTGGCAAAACCGTAATGAAACCGTAATTGCTAACAAAGATAATACCGGACCTTGGCAAAATAGAAATGAAATTCCTAATGGAAAAAGTAATAATTCTGAACATTTACGTTTCCACAATCAAAACCAGAATGATATACATTTGCAAAATCAAACTCAAATCAACAATGCCAACAATGAGAACATTGCAAATTTATATTGGCAGAAACATAATGAAATTATGAATGCAAAAAGTAAGAGTACGGGATATTTACCACGGCCTAATCGAAACCAAATTTCGGCTCAAAACCGTGAAGTCAGCTTTAAGAGCCATGAACCTGTACATTGGCAAAATAAGAATCAAATCATTAATAGCAACAGTCAGAATATTGTACCGTTACCTAATATTCCAATCGTAAATACTAGGCGGCTTCCAAATTATTACCCCCATTCTAGGCAATATATTCCAAAAAATCTACCTCCCAATCCCATTTATGGTCCCGATCAAATGGAACAAGTACTAGAACACTATCAAAGAAAAATAAATATGATGGTTAATCCGCCGCCTGTGGTGGAAAATTTTTCTACAAGCCAAAATGGTATGCAATTCCCTGGTCCTTATATACCGCCGATTTCTAATCAAAGAATACCGCAATATATTCCAGTAGATCTAGGTAATCAGTATAATAACACTAATAACGATGCTCATATGAGAAGTACCAGACAAAATATTCAAAACATTGGAAATGTACCGCTCCGAACAAATATGCAAGTACCTAATATTTCTGTTCAAGATCCTAACATCAGTAGTGTAAATTGCCAATACGAAAGAAGTTTTCAGAGAGATACTGTTCCCACCGACAATATTAATGTTAAAAATAATCAAACTAATATTTCTGTTCAAGATCCTATCATCAATAGTGCAAATTGTCAATACGAAAGAAGTTTTCAAAGAGATACTGTTCCTACCGATAGTATTAATTTTAAAAATAATCAAACTAATATTTCCATTCAGGATCCTATTATCAATAGTGTAAATTGCCAATATGAAAGAACTTTTCAAAGACATACCATTCCAACCGATAGTATTAATATTAAAAATAATCAAACTGCCAGTGCTGATGACAATACAGTTCAAACGAATGAATTTTCAAATAGCGCTAATGTCAGTAAGTTCAATGACTTTCAAAATACAACTAATGATAACAATAGAACTCAACTTATCTCAAATGGTGGCACCGGTGCCTCCGATCAAGATACAACAATAATTGGTCTGAGTGATACCCACCTCCCGATTGATATCTCAACAATGAATAGAAATGATTCGAAAACAAGCAATTCAATAATCGATAAAATGCTTATATCTGACCAATCAATGGAAGTTACCGTAACTGAGGTAACCAAAAACAGCACAGAACACTCAGATGATAGCACAGAGGATGAAACAGTTAAAAGTAACGAAGAACCTCGTAAAAAAAAGTTGAAACTGGGAGGAGCCAGTTTTGATTTTAGGGAACTAGTCCGCAAGGAAAGTAAGAAGACATACCTGAAAATTTTGAATCAGTTTGTCAATGAACAAAAACCGATTTTATTAGTCAATGTGGAAGATGGTAAGTTAACATTCGTTTTACATTTTAAGATTGATTCATATGTATAAGTAAAAATGTATAACAATAATATTTATTTTACCTATCTATATTCTTCCAACGATGAAGATGTAATGTTTTCTTTTTTAACCTTCAGCCGGGCGCGCCGCAGTAATTTGCTGCGTAAACTCAATATTTTTAAAAGTCCCTTATCGGTTAATTCTTAGTCGGTACCCATCATCGTCTTGTGAAACGAAATCCAAATCCAATTAGTTATCGTACTTTATTGTGAATAGTACATCGAGGCAGACAATTGCTGCAAGGCGCCTGGTAGTGAAATTCGCGCGTTTTTTTTAAATAACTAATATATCTTTTTCGAGAAATTGAAATTTTATTGGTAAGTAAAATTGTTAATAATGTAATTATTTATAATAATTAATAATATAATATATATATATATATATATATATTATATATATATAATATATATATATATATATATGAAACATTTATATATAAAAAATTATTGTAATTCTATATTATAACATATTTTATAATTTTAGATTACGCCAATTTGTCTCGTAAAAATCCAAAGGAAGTGTTAACCCAAGCACAATTAGAGGAAATTCTAAATAATGTGACAGATATTGAAGATGAAACAGATGAAATATTGGAAAGGGATAGTGATTTGGATGAACAACAAATTGAGGAGAACCACGACGATACATGTTCAGAGCAAGATATGTCAGATGAGGAGGAAGTGTTTTACGAAAACGTTGAAGATACATTCATTGACAAGGATAAAACAAGTAAATGGTATAAAACTTCTTTTGCCACATCTAAGACAAAGCAACAAAATATAATGAGAGTACCACCGGGATTAAAAAAAACTGCACGTCAAATAAAAACAGAAATTGACGCGTTTTTTACTATTATCAATATTGATATAGTTGATGAAATTCTAATTTTTACCAATTTATAATTTATCTATAGGAACATAGATATAAAACACAATATTTGATAGATAGAGATTGCAGGAATGTGAACAGGAGGGGCCTTATTGGCCTTTTTTTGGACTCCTCTATTTGATTGGCATAAAGCACGACAATCACACAAATGTGATGGAACTTTGGGAAAAAGATCGCACAGGGATTAATATTGTTCGAGCAGTAATAAGCTACAAACGTTTCCTATTTATTGCACGTTCATTGATATTTGATGATAAACATACAAGGAGTGATAGATGCAAAATAGACAAGCTGTCGGCCATTAGATCGTTTTTTGACAGATTTATAAAAAAATGACAAAACTCATATAATTTGTCAAAGTATACAACAATTGATGAAATGCTACATCCCTTTAGAGGTAGGTGTAGCTGGATACAATGTATACCCAACAAACCTGCTAAGTACGGGATAAAAATACGCGTTGTGTGATGCTCAAACATTTTATACCGCCAATTTAGAGATATATTGCGGTAATCAGTCAAGTGACCCATACGACGAATCAAATTCGGCATTTGACATTGTAAAACGTCTAATAGAGTCCGTAGAAATGACAGGAAGAAACATAACAACAGATAATTTATATACTAGTATTCCGTTAGCTAGATATTTGCTGCAGAAGAAAGTTACTCTGCTTGGGACGCTGAAGAAAAACAAAAGAGAAATTCCTCAATAATTTCTTCCACATAAATCAAGGGCAGTTCAATTTAGCATATTTGGATTTCCAAAAGATTATACGATTACCTCTTACGTGCCGCGTAAAATTAAGTCAATCATATTATTATCGTCTATGCACAACGAAAGTACAGTTGACATGGATACTAAGAAACGACAGTTGATTTTAGATTGCAATAAAACAAAAGGAGGAGTTGATACTGTAGATAAATTATGTTCATCATACAGTGTTTCACGAATTACTAAAAGATGGCCGTGTGTTATATTCTATAATTTAATGAATATTGGAGGCATAAATACTTTTGTTCTACATTCCGCTGCAAATTCTGGAAAATCACTCAAAATTTTCTCAAAAACCTTGCAATGAACTTGATAAAAGATCACATTCATACACGATCACATTAAAACACTTTCAAGTGATATAACCGAGTTCCTGTCCAGGATGTTTCCGAAGCAACCAGTACCCCATCAAGAAGACGAAAATCCTGCTAAACGTGGTAGATGAAATACCTGTATGAAATGTACACAATGTATTGCGTTCACTTGTAAAAGAAATTTCAAATCTAATATTGTATGTATTAATTGTAATGATCAAATAAATTAAAAGTTTTTTTCTGTATAATACAATTTAATAAAATTAAAATCATGAATTTGTTGCTTGTGTGAGTCCATTTCAAATAGGTAAAGAAATAATAAATCAGACTTACTCACAATCAATTTAATTTAACTATCCGACGACCGGTTTCGCTTTCTACAATATGCAAAGCATCTTCAGGTCTCGGTACAAAGTTAAACAAATGATGCCGGTACTCTATTAATAGATGGATGGTAGAACATGTTTGAAACTACTGTATATTGTTGAATGGAGAACTCAATACTATTATTGCAGTTGTTTGACAGTAAACGGGAAGTTCTTGAGGAGGTAGGATTCTTCTTCATTGGATCAAATCTACCTCCTCAAGAACTTCCCGTTTACTGTCAAACAACTGCAATAATAGTATTGAGTTCTCCATTCAACAATATACAGTAGTTTCAAATATGTTCTACCATCCATCTATTAATAGAGTACCGGCATCATTTGTTTAACTTTGTACCGAGACCTGAAGATGCTTTGCATATTGTAGAAAGCGAAACCGGTCGTCGGATAGTTAAATTAAATTGATTGTGAGTAAGTCTGATTTATTATTTCTTTACCTATTAATAAAATTGGTTAAATTAATAAAGCATTCTTATTTTTTGACAAAATAACTAAATAAATAACGATACAGTTAATCAATAATTAAAAGTGTCGAAAACAATAAGAAACTACATGGCACTGCGGCGCGCCTGATGATGTAATTATTTAGGGCGCGCCTGGCCGAAGGTTAAAGTCACTAGTTTTGTTTGTCAACTTCGGAAATCGTTCTCAAAATACAAACATTAGTTTACAACGCTTTTAAGAAAAGCAGAAAACCTTCATTAGTGGAGTCCGCATTAGAAGAAGAAAAAGAAATTGTATAAATCAGCCTAAAATGGCATACATCTGTTTGTATATGTGCCATTTTGCCCTACGTAGACTCCGAAACTACTATTCCGTTGCCTCTCCAAAAGAAATTTTTTAAATAATATGACGTGTTCTGTGGGACTAGAAACCTCAAAATTATTTTAGTGATGACAACTTTAGCATGGTTCTGATTAATATTCGTTCCATAAGATATAAACATATGAATTATTTTTGTTTCTAGAGGAATTAGGATTTCCCCCAATAGTTGTGGTTACAGAGCACTGGCTTGAAGTCAACGAGCCTTTTTTGTAGAAAAATATACTATAATTGCTAGTTATGATCGTCCAAGTTCAGCTCATGGTGGGACCCTAATTCTTTATACAAATAATGATTTCTCTCCTATAACAAAATTTCTGTTGAATGGATCCTGTTTTGAGTTTTCCTTGGTTTATAACAAGAATTTTAATCTATAGATTATTTGCATTTATAGATCACATGATTCTTCCACGGAACTATTTTTCATAACCTGCTTAATTTGTTAGTTGATCGTCACATTACTATGACAAACTCTGGTCTTTTCCATATTTTACTATGCATGCGAGACATGGACAGTCAAAGAATCAGATCGACGACGTATAGACGCCTTTGAAATGTGCACATGGAGACGCCTGCTTCGAATTCCATGGACGGCTCGCCGTACAAATATCTCGGTTCTCGATGAAATTAAACCGGATCAGCGTCTCTCCAGTACCGTTTACTCTAGAATTGTAAAGTTCTTTGGCCATATCCATCGAAGTGATCACAAAATGGAGCAGTTGGTGGTCCAATGAAGGCCTCAGACTCTACGCCAACGCGGAAGATCTCCACAGCGATGGGCAGACATTACTAAAAAGCTTCTCAATAAACAGTATACTGAGGCAATACATATAACTGATGACCGCGACCAGTGGAGAAACATTATCAATCAAACTGTCCGAGCTGCTGAAGCCCAATTATGAACCACAACACATCTACTAAGATGTTAATGACTGTGATGATGATGATGCTTAATTTGTTAGACGACCTGCTCAGTAAAAACAGAAAAATTCTATGCGGTGACTTGAATATTAATTACGCTGTTGCATGTGCTACCCAATTATCCTTGGTCAATATATTCGAATAGTATGGTTTCCCAATGCACGTTAATTCTCCTACAAGAATTACTAAAACAACATCTACCATAATTGATTAGGTATATTGTCTCAGATTTCTCACCCCTTGATGTACGCTCTACAATTATTAATGCAGGACTATCTGATCATGATGCGGTATATACAAAGTTTAACACTCTTGACAAACAATCTTTGAAAACCCAACGTTTAGGTAGGATTTTTCCGCTCACAACTTTCGTAAATTCCAAAATTTGTGCTTGACTTCTGGGTGGTACTTTCCCTCTGTGGACGTAGACCATAATTTCAGTGATTTTGTAGATGGGCTTATTTACATTTTCAATAAGGTATTTCCTTTAATTACAATTAAGTCCAAACATCACAAACCCTGGACTACTAAAGGTATTTGCATATCTGCCAAGAATATGCGTTTACAACTGTACATCAAGAATTTTACTACCAACGTCTGTGTTACTGAATATATATATATATATATATATATATATATATATAATATATATATATATATATATATATATTGTAGTTTTGAGTTTCTTGAACCGTATTATATTTAATATAAAATTAATGTTTCTTGGGTTTAGGTTCAATAAAGATATTACATGTGGAACTAGATTTTATTTTCCATTGCAATCAATCAACGTTTCGGCAGGAAACCCTTGCCTTTGTCAAGATTCTAAAATGTGTGTATATAAGGACAAACAGATATTGTAAAATATGTATAATATATATATATATATATATATATATATATATATATATATATATATATATATATATATATATATATATTAGGGTGGGCCGAAAAAATTATTTGTTTAGTTTTAATACACAATACCCCCAAAAAGATGCCTTTTGGTAAGTATAATCACTGTATTTTTTTTAGGATTTTTAAAAAAACATCTTCAGCCCTCTACCACCCCTAAAGTGAACCCTAAATCAAAATTATTTAATTTAATTAGCA